AGACGCACACAACCAACACTGATATATACACAGACAATTTTACGAAAAAATTTACGAAATGATTAAGCATTTTAGTATTAAACATAATCCATTCCGCAGCAGCAATCGATCACGAAAGTAAAATTTTTTGTTTTGTTTTCAAAATAATCACACACACACAAATTAGGTAAATATATGTGTTTGTTCGCGACTGATTCCAGATGTGACCCGTTCAGAAAGTGCTATTAAAGTCAATTTAGAGACGAGCTTTAAATACGATTGCCGTTCTTATAGATTTAGATACATTTTTGTTGTTATTTTTCTTTCTTTTATATCCTTTAGTTTTAGAAAAAAATCTGTTATTTCTTCTTTCATTTGTTTCACATCTAAATGGGAGAGACCAATGCTATAGAACTTCAATCGACGTCAATTGATCATTTGTTTTTCTATAGAAAGAAAAGAAATGTTTAAATCATGCGTAGTAAATGTTTACTTATTTGAGCAACAATGACTTGTGACAATGACTTTATGACATGTCTTTTAATCAGACTTACTAATTGAAAAAACTAACTGTATAGTTAGTTAATGGAAATATTTTTAGGCTCATTAGATCAGCCTTCCTGCTACTATTTTAATGGTTAAGTAACATATTTTGATAGTATAGTTAAACTCAATAGAGTAAGTAGTTTTAGCCGAGCTTCTTTAGCACTGCTACCAACAGCAGCAGTAGTTACATTCTCATTCAATCATTATCATAGATTTTCCCGCCCCCTCTCATTTTTCTCGTTTATCTTGATGTGTAAATCGGATTGTATTCTTCTGTGTATGAACAACAACACAAAAAAAAAAAGATATTTATTCACGCTAATAAACAACTCTAAGTATGATCATTCTTAAACTGGACTTGTCAAAAACATTTTTTATTTCTGCTCGCGTCTTGAACATTTTTTTCCTTATCTTTTTTTCTATTCTCTATTCGTTACACACACAAATATTCTGGGCAAAGAAAAAAAAAAAGAAGGAAAAAATTAATCTATTTTAAGATCTCAGTATGTGTATCAACCATGTTTCTTTTTTATGTTACTACTTCCAAAGCTCATTTTCTAGTGTGAAGCTTGAATGCATTGTAAAAAGAGAATGATAGCAGTGTATATATATATAAAATGATCGTTTTCGTATGTGAAAACAAGATCGACATACAAAATAATTGCATTTCAAGTTTTTTTCCTTGATATAAGAAATCCAAGAGTACTTTGTATTCATTCATTTCCTTTTTAATCCGCTATTTTTTCTTAAAACGCGCGTTATAAACGACGATGACTTTTACTCTTATTCAAAAAAGAAAACGACATCTAAATTGAAAACTAAATGGCTGAGGGAATAGAGAAAAGTCTATCTATCTATCTATCTATCTATATCGTTGTGAAAAGAGATGTTCTCATTTGTAATCTGAAGATAGATGATAAAATTAAATTATTGATTAGAATTGAAGAACATAAACAGATGTATACATCTTACTCTTTTTTCGTTTGATATTTCAATCTTTATTATCACAGCATTTTATAACATAAAGTTTAAGCACAATTATTTTTGACATTTATTCCGTTAATAGACTTTTGAAATGCATCAAGGGCGATCATCACATCATAGATAATTCGACGAACACAAACTATTTGAACATTATTTTATTGCATGTAGATAAATACAGATACATTTTTTTTCGATTCAAAGTAGTGGTTTAGAAACATCAAATTTCTAAAAGCTACAGATATGTAATTTTTTTGTTTGAAATATCAATGTCAACCAACCTCCTACTGAAGCTATTTTTTACTGTTTTTGGTCAATGCCATGTCAATTTGCTGTAGTTCTATAAAAACCGGTTGTTTAGTTAATTTCTTAATACTTCGATAGAAAAAAAACAGGTTGAACAAACTTCCTTTTCGCTATAATCTAAGAAAAAAGCGATCCAAATATTAGAAATTCCAAAAGGGTTCAAGTTTTCTATTTCAAGCGTAAATTTGGTTATCTATAAAATTCATTTTTCTATATTCGAAAATTAAATTTTTTATTTTCTGTTTTTTTCCTCTCTTGTCGAGAAAAAGAGACGCGCGTTTTATCAAATACGATTAAGAGATAGTTCGTTTAATTTTTTTTCCTGTTTCTGCTAAGAGAAAAAACGTTGTTGTTGGTGGTGATAATAGAGAACTCATTTTTTTTTCAGAAAACGAGAGAAAGACTGACATACAACAATGTTTATCAAAGTCCCTTTATATATATATATATATATGTGTGTGTCGCTTCCAGTTATTATTATTGTCTCTTTTCTTTCTTCAAGCTTTCTTCTCTTTTTTTTTGTTTAATTCTTAAACAACACAACACCAGAGATTTTTTTTTGAAATACATACATCAAGTTCTATTAAACGCGAAAGAAAAAGCAGCAAGCACAAGCTAATAATAATACTCTGTTATTAGCAAAATCATGTCGTAGAGAGGAGAAGAGAAAATGAGATGGAAAACTTCTTTTTTTTTTTTTTTTACTTTGGAAATATATATAAAATACCCAATAATAGTATGACTAGAAAAAAAAGAAGAATAAGAGCTCAACATGTCTCTCTCTCTAAAATATTAGTCTACATGCATGCGAATAATAAAATAAAATACTCATAAACCATATCGCAGCAACTTCTTCATAATATATTGTATTGAGTATAAAGACATAATAATTAATTATTTTCATTTCAATCAAAATACACGCACAAAAATCAATAACACCAGTAACGGTTTTTTTTTCTATGAACAATAGATTTAATATTAGCTTACTAATGTATTTATATGGAAAAACACGATGATTTTAAAAGTTTAGTTACATGGCCACACGAATGGAGACCTGAAGACAGTAGTATTGATGATGAAGAAAGTAATGATTATCGTTTAAACCCTCCAGAATTAAAAAATATGACACAGGTTGTACCGGAACAATTAATTAAACAACAGAAACATCCAACAGCATCAGTTGCAGTCAATAATAATAATAATAATAATAATAATAATAATAATAGTAAAATTGAACTTAAACATTTTTATAATAAAGAAAATAGTAACTATCGTTCACAACGTTCAAATTCTGCAACATTATCCACTATTAGTGTTACATGTGATACCGACACATCGATGAGAGCAACACGCCAACATCAGTCGAATCAAACCGGTGCAACAGTATCTAACAGTATTCGTTTATCGCCCACCATTGGATCACACTCATCAATTACTTCAGTATCAAATCAACGTCATTCTATGAATAAACCAAACATTCAACAACCGTCCATTAGACAAAAAATCATACCATCATCTATGTCCGCTGCCACTATATCTTCTACGGCAATATCATCCTCACAGAAAAAATTTAATTCCAAATCTGGAAAGTCAACAGACCTGGTCGAAGCAAGCGGCATGACACAATCGATATTAAAAAATAATACTTCACGCTCACCACCAATGAAAATGATAATTGAAAAACCCTTACCATCATCATCATCATCAGCTATTAATAGAAATAACTCTAATAACAATAATAAGTTATTGACACAAGCCTATTTTCAATCATCTAGCAAAACATCTTCATCCTCAACCACATCTAAAATACCAGTTAAATTAAAATCCATTTCATTTGATGAACATCATCGTTCATCTACAATATCATCAGCAGCATCTGTATCATCGAGAAATAAAAGTGTTTTAGAACATTTAGTATTTGTTTTTCCAGATAATGTTAAACGAATGCTTGCTGGTGGTAATAGAAAGTAAGACAAATATTAGATATAATAATATTTTTATGAACGGAAACGAAAGCTGATTTTACTCATTATTTAAGATAAAAGTCAATTTTCATTTTTATTTTTATTTTTCAAAGTGCGTAGTTTAAAACAGCGAAGAAGAAACAAAAAAAAGAGCAAAAAAACAGAACGTCAAAGAAACGATTCATTCTGATGAGTTCATAGCACATTTCCATATTGTCACGTATAATGCGTTAGAAAAAAAGAATTTTAATACTACCCGTATACTAACTCTAGTCTCAACAGAAGAAAATGTTCTAAGTTAATTCCCTTTTTTATTCTTGTAGAAAACGTTGAAATGTGGATCATTGGTGTTAATAGGACATTTTTGAACAGAGTCTGCCATCTGTCAGCTAAATTTTCTATATTAATAAATTAAAAAACATTATACACATTTCTCCAATATCAAAAGAGAAGATGTCTGGAGAGAATATTACAGTTCATAAATATCTTGAAGTACAGAATTTAACTCATTTTTTTTCTTCTGTTATTATGCTGAAATGTCGAAAAGTAAATTAAAAACAAGGCGTTCTTCACATTATATGATGGAGAATATTCAGCTCTGTAAGAAAGAGTTGTTTGAACGTTGTTACAACAACGTTTGTTTTTTAGCAAAGTTGTTCTCAACTTTTTTTTTTTTCACACTGTGGCTTATATCTTTTCCTTTCTTGCATGTCGTCTATTTTTTCAAAAAAATAATTTTCTATATTTTCTTCTTTCTTCTAAAACGGAGTTTTATAAAACTCAGAATAAATTCCAAATGTTAGAGAAAACATTCTTCGAAAGGTTTTTCTGCTTAATTAATGTCCGACATTAGAAAATTTCAGGCATGTAAAAAAAATTAATTTTTTTTACTCATCAAGTTTTTATTGTTTTAGTTTGACCGTGCGAAGCGATGAAGGCAGACCCCCACTAGAACCAATTAACCTTGGCGAACCGTATGTATTCTATTCAGGATTATAAACATGAACTATTTCGATTGAACATTTTTTTCTGTGCATTATTTTAGGCCATCTATAGAAGAAATCAAAAGTTGGGCAGATTCATTTGAAAAACTTATGCAAAGTCAAGGTATAATTTAATTAACTATTATATATATTTCAAATAAACTATTTATATAATTAATTTTTAAAGGCGGTCGACATCATTTTCGAGAATTTTTACGTTCTGAATACAGTGAAGAAAATATGTTATTTTGGTTATCATGTGAAGAATTAAAAACTGAACAAAATCCAGAAATTATCGAAGAAAAAGCCAGACTAATCTATGAAGATTACATATCAATATTATCTCCCAAAGAAGTATGGATTTATTTTTGCATTAATAGTATATTGTTAATAAATTTATTCATTACTTCTAATTTTAGGTCAGTCTAGACAGTCGTGTACGCGAAGTAATTAATAAAAATATGGTTGATCCTACGCCACATACATTTGAAGAAGCCCAAGTTCAAATATTTACTCTCATGCACAGAGACTCATATCCAAGATTCATTAATTCACAAACGTATAAACGACTATTACGTGGTGATACCAAAGTGTGATCGAGAACATGCGCGTTCCGATTACTTATGTAATTTTAATCTTATTTACCGTGTTACACAAAAAAAATCGCTACGACGTTCATCATTATCCGCTTCCTCATGTGTAAAACATACGACGATATCCCAGTGTGTACATGTCTGTGAACATTAATAATTTATCCCGGTTATTTTGTTACTACTTCACGATAACAAAAAGAAATATACGCAGCAGAAACAAGATGAGAAATAGAACTTCGCTTGCATTCCAAAACATCTTTCTCCTCAACCTACTTAAAAACTTTTTAACTTCTAGTCATTGTATATCGATTCTTAACTGCGTTCATGCGTATATACTAAATCAAACAAAATTGAAAAAATTGAATTTAATGTTGTTAATCTTGTTGTCGTACAGTCAGATGAGAAACTTCTATAAAGTCGCATATATTTCTGCTCGAGAACAGTACTTTTTCTCTCTTTAATACTGGTTTTATTTGGTTTGTTGTTTTTGTTTGAGTAATTTCTTAGATGACAATCTGTTTTAGGCTGCAAAGCGGAGCTAATTATGAAAGTCTTAGACAGTAGAATATCAGATAAATATTATTGTTGATTAATACTGTAACTAAGGATTGATAACAAAGAAAAGTTGATGATAAAAAGTAGAGGTTTCCTCCAGTTGTATCTGAAAAATAGAACGTATTTGACTTCTAGTTTTTGTGAATATCCAGTTCGCTTTTTAAAAACTATCGTTTGTACTAAACATTCTGTTTTTGTTAATTTATTTATCATCAGACACCTTCTCTCCATCTTGTATTTTTATCTTGGACCAGAGATTTGTTTTTGTAGCTCGTTGTTTTAACGTTTTAAAATGTTCTAGTCAAATTTGTGTTTTCCGTTTTCTTTTACGAAATTTTCATTTTCACTTTGTATGTCTCTATGTATCTACATTCTCTTTTTCTCTCTTTTTTTAAATTCATTTGAATTCCGCTACATTCTGCAAAAGACAGAAAAAGATGATATTTTTTCATTGAGAAAAATTAAAGAAAAAAGTTACATTATACAAAATCAAAATTGTTGAATATGACGATTGTTTATAAGAGCGATTTAAAATCAAATAATGTAAGTAATATGAGAAAAGACGTATGCTTAATATCAAAAACTGTTTATTTGATAAAATTTACTTTAGGGATATTTTTGAATAGATAACAATAATAGGAAAAGCACAATAGTAGGAAAAATTTTAATATCATTAAAGTTGACTTTTCAAAATAAAACTGTCTCATAATGACATTTTCATTTTTGTCTTTGTCCATTACACCTATTGAATATCTAAATTAAATAATAAGAAAGAGTTAGGACTTGAGTTTTGATTTTGAACTAGACTTATCGTCGTTAAAATAATTTATCCTTCTGTCCATATTACAGAATTATTAACAATAACTATTGTTGATACAGTACGATCAAATTTTGACATAGTTCAATTGTCAGTAACGTTAGTATTGTTTCCTACAAAGTAAAGTTCTGTGCTAGAATAGTGGATGGGAAATTACTCATAAATAGTTACCTTTTATCAATCTGAAACTTCTTAAATTCAAATCATGAACGGCTAAATATCAATACTTTCAGTCTGAATGTTTGCCCAAAGTAAATCTGGGTAAATTTTTACCTGCACCGTAATAGTATTCTAAACTACATTTTGTCGCATTTAAATTACATTTATGGAAATTTAGTTACTTACTGGCGAGTCATTTCCTGCATTATATTCTAAATAGTATAAGTAATTGTGTTTTGGATCTATTGCTAAACAAGTCAACATATGAGTGGTGTATAGAAGCGTTGTCGCATTAAGTGAACTTTCCGATTTACACTCTGAACGTTCTTTCATAGTAATTTTTGAAATTGAATTATCCGTGGCATAATATAACGTAAGCGCGGCAATATCAACTGCTAGATCGCGAGAAGAAGCATACAGCCTGTCCAATCGTGGCTGAGTCACGTTTTTCAATTTTCAATTTGATTTTTCTCGGTCATTTTAAAAGATGAAGAGTCGACATTTTTTCTACATGTGTGCGACCATATGCTCTACAATACCTGAAACTATCGTTCAATTTGGTTGCACAGCTTCGATTTTATTAAAGAAATAGAGATCGTGGCGGAATCACGAAAAATCGACAAGCTCTTTTATCTGTGTCCAGAGGTGTGAAAAATTCTGCGAAACTGAATGACCTATGAGGAAATGCTTTCTATGAAACTTGTAGCAAATCTTGCGAGCAAGTTGAGGAAAGAAGAAAAATTTAATAAAAGTTCTGCGTGGTCAGTGAGAAAAGAGCGTCATCGTGAAATCACGGTTTCGTGGCAGAATCACATTTCACAAAATGACCATGCTTTCTTCAATTTTTTATTTGTTCGTAAAGTGAGTAATATCTCAATCAAAACATGTAATGAGTATTTCCTTAACAAAAAAAAGTAAAAACATGGTTTTCGACCTGCTATTTCTCAATCCTTTCACACAATTAGTTCCTGCAACAGGCGCGTACCATGAGAACTCGTATTTTGAATTAAAATTAAAAATTTTAAATTTCATCTTTTCTTAATTCATAAATAGACAGACTCAGGAACATGCTGAAACCTATACCAGTCGATAGCGCTTGAAAAACTGAACAAACGTTGACGGTTGCCAAAGTTCGATCAAAAACTCTGGACAATCTCTAGGAGGACTCGAGAAAACCTTCAAATACCACGATTTGTTGAAACTTTGTTAAGGATGCCAAAAGATAGCCTATTTTTGACAAAACTGCCTTATTTTAACAAAAAATATTTGAGTCAAAACAAATTTGTGCATTAGATAGAGCGCGAAAAACTGTTACTAGAAAGGTGACTTCATCTACCTCAAAGATCACAAGTGTGGCAAAAATAAAAGTGCGAAGAAATTTCGTGGCGGAATCACGTGTTCAAAATAACACGTTTACAGAGCTGAGCACAGAAATTAATTTCTTTTACGTGAAAAGTACGTTTATCTGTTCTACCTTCGACCCGAGCCACAAATGGAACAAAGAAACAACTAACTGTGCCCGGAATAAAAATGAAAAAGCCCATCTGTGCGCTGTTCTTTTACGGTTCAAGGCGCCATCTTTTTAGAAGCCTTTTTCTCTAAAAAATGAACGCAAAACGAAGATAAAAGAATGCACTTTTATATATTATTGGCTATCTTCTACAACATAGTGTTACTTTTAGCCGCGTTTGCACTTCAGCTTTGACATAAAAGTCTACCATTACGTGGACTGGCCGCATATCAATTCAGTCGTGGAATTTTAAAAGCGTGTTTGGTGAAAACAGATTCCAGATAGTCGGTTACCTTGTACGCAACAAGTTTTGAATGGAGATACTGTAAACAAATTTCTCAATCACATTCAGCATCCAGGAACTTTGTAAAAAATTCTGTTGCAAAACAATGGAGAAAATTTTTTCTGGATTACTCCGATTCAAAACTTGTTGCGTAAAATGTAACCGACTATAAAGCGTCCAAACCTGCGATCAGTTTTGGCTGAACACGCTTTTAAAATTTCTCGACTGAATTAATATGATTTATTTTTATCTGTTAAAGATGGATTGAAAGAGGACCTTTTTGTCTTTTCTGATCAATGTGAATCATTATGCTCTAATAGAATAATATCCTCACCATTATTTGCACATAAAACAATCAATGAACAATTATAATAGAGTATATGAGTAAGATTATTTCCATTAAAAGCTTGTTCTAAAGGAGTTTCATTAAATGAATATACACCCTGATATATTGCATCGTTGGTTGAAATAATGTAATAAGAACCGGTATACGAACAATTGTTTAATACTGAGGGATTCGTAGGATTATCTATAAATCGTCGCATTCGATGAATAGACGTGTTACATGAGAAAGTAGGCCTAGGCCAGTTTCTATACATGGCATCCTATTGAGTTAAAACTTTTGGCTAACCCCTTCTAAAGGGTTTTGAAATATGGTCTTTCATTAGTTTTTTTCAGAAAGCGTAAAAGTGGGTTTCTAGCCAATCATAGTTTTTGGCATACCTGGATACAGCAAAACTTTTTTTCTAGAAAAATGCTGCTGCTCTAAGAGATTGTCGAGATGACCATCGTATTCAGGATAGAATGGAATACATTTTGAAGAAAATTTCAAGTTTTCAGCGTAAAGTTAAAATTTTAATTTGTAAAAGTTACACGTATTTTCAAATTTAAATAACTTAGAATAGCCATAATCGTTTTAAAGACGATATGCGATGGAAAATCACAAAGTGAACAACCGTGGGGCTTTGTCGACATTTGCATATGACACCATCCCGAAGTATTAACGTTCTACTTAACTAGTTTCATTTTTATTTATAAAGCTGCATCGCCGACAAGTGAGTATATTATTGACATAGTTTCACTTTTATATAACACAATATCTAATAACATATTGTTTTAACTTGCCCACAACTGACTGACTATATAATTAATTAGCACCATATTTTTATACATCCCCTTGTTTGGGAACAGACACTGAAGGTATACCGACAGTTGGGCGCAATGACAGTTGAGATTCAAAGAGGCCGGTGCGGGTGAGGGTGAGTATCGATGAAGATTAAACAAAAAGTGATTACAGTTGGCTATGAGTGATATCGAAAAAGCTCTTACACCGTACCAAGTTTGTTTAAAAAAAATGTTATCGTTATGCATCATACTTTAATAAATGCACTCTTACTGAATGCTTTTGTGGTATATGCACCCAAATGTCTGATAATCGACACCGAAGAGCATCCGTTGAACGTAATAGTAGAAAATATACCATTTTCCTCAAATTGATCTACTGAAGTGAGGATGTTTGGGATATCATAGTTCAATTTAGCATCTTCTTTTCATTTTAATTTTTTTCACAGTTACTATACGCATAATCTACAGCTTATATATTTTGATTAACAACCACATATACGAAAATACAAATAATATAGAAAAAACAAACTAGCACGGGCTTCAGAAGTATTATTTTTAATAAGAAAAGTGTGTAAAATGAAGTGATTGCAAATTCATTTCACCGATTTTAAGTATTGTGTGTTAGACCGGGAACTATTTTATAAAGATAAAAACCTGCCACTTCAGAGAATTTTAAAAATCCAACGGTGATGTGGTATAAGTTGATAATTTTTGTTCCGCGAGTCTTGAAGGAATAGACTCTTTCCAAATAAAATCTCGTTGATGAAGACGTTGTTGTTGTTGTTTCTGGCTTGGTGTTCGTTGTTTTAGTTTCGGTGTTATACTTGGACGATATTCTTTGAGAGCTGACAATGATAATGGTGGAAAAGCTAAAATAAAACTTATAGAATTATGCCAATAGTTAGTCTTGCCATCCTTACTTTCACGATGAATATTTGATGTTTGCGATACATGTCCTTGAACAGTAGAATTTTCAGTACTAAATAATGAATAATCATGTGAAAGGCCTAATAGAGCTTGTGGTGATTTGTTTGTCTTTAATAAATTCACATTATCATTACGTCCATAAATTAATCGAGTCGATGGTGGAGGTGGTGGTGGATGTTCATAGAGGGCTTTCAATGGATCATAATCTTTCAGGAATGTTACTCTATACTTTTTGTCATCTTTTTCAAATATTAGACGATTTTTCTTTGAAAGATCGAACATTGATGGTTTTAATTCATCATGCTTATCACCAAAGTTCACGTTTTTATCTGCATCAAATTCTTGTCGGCCTTCAATCGCATACATGAGATCAAATGGATGATTTTGCTAAACGATATTTTATCATCCGAATACAAAATCACTGTAGAAAATATAACTTTCACATTTTTACCAAGTTTTACTGCACAATGCATATGCTAATAATTCAAAAAGACGTGGCTATTTATTAAATAATTAACTATTGAACGAACGATGATCGAATTTTGCAGTTTTCGGCAGCCGAAAGAGCAGACCTGAGAACATAAGCTGAAAAGTTTTTTCAAAATATGTTTTCCAAGTGGATTTTCTGACAGGTCTCTGGAAAACAGAGAATTTTTAGGCTTTAATTTATATTTAAAAATTCGTAACTCACTCAAAATACATCATAAAGACTTCAAAACATCAGGATGTACACTATTTAAGCTATACTAAAATTCAATAGATGGTAAATCTGTCAAAGCATTTGATAAAAAGTTATGGTTTTTTGATAATTTCTAGAAAACCTCCTGAGTATAGCATCGTTTTTCAGGTTTTACGATCCCATAATCCTCAGCCATTTGAAGGACAAAACTGAGCATATCGTGAACTTTTATTTGCGATTGAAATGCTTCTGTTAATTGGAACAGTGTGATCTATTATGTATGTTCCGTACAACTTCAAGATTACTTCAAGTCATTTGATACCAGTTTTGGATTACAGGAATACCACGCCTGAACCACTGCATATTAAGATCGCGCGTGGCGTCAACTTTGAAGGAAGCACTTTGGACTATCTGTCCATGAACAGAAGTCAATAGATTCCTATCGAAAATTGTTGAAGCATCATCTAATTTTTCAGAGACTGCCCAGAAAATCCACTTGGAAAACATATTTTGAAAAAAGTTTTTGGCTTACTTTCTCAGATCTGCTCTTTCGTCAGCCGAAAACTCCATGACTCGATCATCATTCGTTCAATAGTTAGTTATTTAAAAAACAGCCATGTCTTTTTATATTAGATAGTAATTCGGTTATTTCTACGAACGCTAATATGATTCATATTTTGGAAAAATGTTATATACTAAAGCAATATAACCGTTTATGATTTTATTTCTCGAATTTACCGTTAGTTTTTCAGCAAAATATTTTTGTACACTCTGATCATCGTTTAAATGTTGAAGTGTTGACATTGCCGTTGCTCGAAGCAATGTGGCCTTGTCTTCATTTAGTTTAGAACATTTGAATAATAAATGTGACTAAATAGAAAGATGTTGAACTCTTGTAAAATCAAATAAGTTCCTTAAAACTATGTACTTGTTGAGGATTTATTAAATGATCTTTTGTTAGTTCTAAATATCTTTGTGCCTTGTCAATATCAGAATGGTTTCGTACAAAATATTCAAGGTTGTCGGGTGGATGTTGTGCCAACTGATCGCGTACAAATGATTGATAACATTCCTAATTAATTTTTAAAATTAAAAAATGTAAATATACGACTTTAGTCATTCGTATAAAACAAGAAGCGATCATAGTGATGGCGTTTTAAATAAAATGCGAACAAACAAAAGCGTGAAAATAGAATGCAGTTGATTTCTTATAACACAGATCCCAAGCAATATCGGTAGACAACAATATTAACAAAAAAAGAATCTTTTTTAGACGATAAGATAAACGTTATTTTTAATTTTCGATATATGTAAGTTTATCAAGCTAGTTTAGATAGCTCGAGCATTAACATTCTTCACTCAGAAAAAATATAAAGTATTTTTGTCATAGAAACCACATTTTAGCTGATGCGTTAAATGAGAATAAACCAAGTGTTGTTTCAGCACAAAACGTGAGCATGTGCTAAAAAAGCGTACATGATCCATACAATAGATTTATTGAGAACAAAACATGCAATTTTTATATATACGTCATTCATTTTGAAGAAAAATCACAAGCTAGCTTATCTATATACTGATTACTTCAAGTTCAGATGAATCTAACTGTTCTGTGGTCGTTCGATAATGTTCCATCGAACGCAAACGTTCGAGACGTTCATGTGGATCATCATAATGGACTGAAATAATATAATCACATTTCGTATGTACACATCTTCGGGAAAATAAAACGTACACTCTCTAATTATACATCTTTATGATAGAACGCTTTGGAGAAACGCATTCTAAAATAATATGTCGTGGATTCATGCAATGATCAATTTACAGTCTTAAATAAAAAAAGATTTTCGAACAATTGCGACACCCAGATCGCATACGTTCAAAAATACGAAATTTTATGGGTTATGCTAATAAAAGTCAACCAGCATAAACATCGACTGCCTGAAACATGCCATATTATATAAAAATTCAGTGCAAACAATGAGAACTATCTCATCCTTTAAAGCATTTTTTTGTTGCGTTTAAATTTAAAAACCTAACTGTCGACGTTATTTTTATTATTATTAAAAGTAGTGACAGCTATTAGTTTTAAGTTTAAGTAAATCTGAATATCCCGGTTTATTTTTCTTACCAGTCTCACATCCTCTATTCAAAATAGAGTTTCAAAAGTATATTGATCCTATTAAGAGCAAATCTGGCCTATGTATTGCTTTAGAAAAAAACTAACATAAATCGATTTCTGGCAAGTACAACTGAAGGAAAATTATGTACGTCCTGGCTGGATTTAGAATCTAACGCACATAAAAGTGGAAAGGATTTGTAAAGTGGCAGGAAAAAAGCACGTTTATTTCGACTTCTTTACTCGAGCCGTAAGTTCGAGTTGTAAAACCGAACGGAGATATCTTTACGCATAGTTTCCTAACAAACGACTCAAAATTATTTTTTTCATTCATTTTATTGACTAGAAATTAGTTACTATAAGATTTCTAGACGTTTTTTTTTTAGAATTACAAGATAAAAAGGTCAAGACATGCACGTATGCGTAAACATGTGGACAATAGTACCATACAACGATGTTTTCGCTGTTATTACATAAATTTCGAATGTTGAGTTTTCGAATTTAGCATAAAATATACTCTAAAATGTGAGATAAACCCAGTTCAACGAAAACTGACATTTAATAACTCATGTATAGCTTGTTAATTGCATAATGAAAAAATTGAGTTTTAATCGGTTAAAAACTATTGAAAAACAGCCCGTTAACAATCACCGTTTTTAGTCCTTTATTTCACCGTAAATCACGACCTAAAAACAGACATTCAACTGTACCTAAAACTAAAATTTACAACGGTGGCTAGCTGTCTTTAAACATTTTCTCTTCTTCGATCATACAGATCATCGGAATTTGTATCGAACAGGTAGCCTCTACGTCTGAGACTGATATCATGATTCTAAAGAATCAAAATTGTGAATTCAGTCTTTGTCAGTTTACTAGCCAGAAGAAAACTGACTTCGGAAAATGTTCGAACAATGGGTTGTTAACGGCCAATAATGGTGTAATAACTGCCTTAAAACGAACATCATAAACTGTCCATTTTTTAGTTATAATAAAACTGCCACTTTTAGACATTGAAACAGTCCCAGTTTAAATGTCTAAAAACAGCCAAAAATTATCGCAGTGGTCTACAAATGTGCATTTAACAAATATTAGACGGGTTATTAATGAGTGTTTAACAGACATTAATGTACACCGTTTTCGACATTCTAAGATTATATAATCTCGTCACTGGTACCAACATTTTTATATAACATAGTATGTTTCAGATGAATCTACACAAGGATTAAACTAGTTTCAAAGCATGTTAATGAACTAACAAATGCACATTCTGAAATAAATTGCTTCACGGTAAAGCTCATTTATCACAGATGAAAGTAATAAGCTATGAAAGAAGCTCACTTGACAAACAATCATTGATGAGAAATAACAAACAAACAAAATAGAAAAGAGAAGAAACCTTGTCTCTCGAAGGTCTCAAATATAATTTTATTCGACTAGGTCTCTTTTTGAGTGTTTGTCCTTCTGAAAAGAAGAGTGATTTTTCATACACTGCCAATAACGAAGAGATACAACACAGATACAAATTGATCACTTTTGTCAGTGACCGAATAACACATGCATTATATAGTGATTAAATTTATTTTTCGTACAAAAACTGATACACAAATAAAACTTACGTAGTTTTAAATCTTCAATTGTCATTTGCTGACGTGTTTCATTTGTTTTTGGAAAAACAAAGTCTTGTGCCATTTGTGGTCCCCAAATACTTGTTAATTTTTTTAAAACTGCTTCACGCTCCTTGGACAGTTCTTTCTGAAACACATGTTTAAAACCATGAAGAATTAAAAAGTCGAGTTCATAAATCTAAACTTACTTCAACTGCCTCAATATCATCCATATTAGTAGATATTTGTCTAAATCAATTAAAAGTCTTCATTTACAACCTAAAATTAAACTGTTGCATATTTTACACGCATCGACTGAAAACCGTTTTTAAACACGGAATCGTAAAAAGCTTGCAAAATTTCAAAAAAATGCTGCTTGCAATTCTAGAGGTATTATATCAGTCGCGCCACCGATGATTCCAGAAAATTTACAAAGGTTTTGACCTGCTGCTAATTTCGAATATTTTAGGTGAAAATGCCAGAAAACGACGAAGAGCAGCAGATCAGTTAATATCTCTGTGCGAGCAACAGAAAGCATCCTTTTCACATCTCTCAGACTAGAAATCAAAGTCAAAACTATATATACGAGATGTGGATCACCGTTTCACTGAAGCACAAATTTAAGTTCTGACGGCACTTTACATTTACATGTATTCACAAACTCCTATTAAAATAAAATCTTAGTAAAAATCAGCAATACGTTGAATTTCTGTATCTAAAAATTCTTTCCCGTTTTAAAAAAATACATAAGACAGCAAAAATAGCCATTTTATAGTTATCTTTACAATCGAAATCCATCGCATTGTCTCTAATAAGAGCCGCTAATATTTAGATAATTTTTTGAAGGAACCGTGAACAAAACTCATTCGTTGGTACTTTATCACTTCAATCTGATTTTTCCAATAGCAATTGTTTTCATTTCTCTTCTAAAGCTAAGATTGGAACTTATTAGTTCAGGTTCAAGCAAAGATGTTTACGTTCTATCCCTATGGCATAATCGGCACTCTTTATTACGTTACTGCTTAGAGAATCAAAACAAATTAAATAAAAATCAGTTACATCGCCATTTGGGATGTTGTTGTCTTGGTAGCAGTTTTGGTAAACATTCTTTTGAGTATAGACCAAGCTGGCGTATATTTGAGAGATTCAACAAAATAAAGAAAGAAATCATCTCGCATGTTTACTTATTCCATCCTACATAGATACACAAGTTGAGTATGTGCATTAAGGGACATGTCCTTTAATTTTTCTTTCGGTAATCGTTACTGTCAACGTCTGTCAAACTGAAAAAATAAGCTGATAACCGCGATGGTCGGAAAACAGAATATTCAGGTCTCAATGAAGATCAGAAAATGAAGATGACATCCATTGTAAAACTCTCAGCAACTTTCTCTATATCTTGGCCCCTATATATATTATTTATAGTTGTGCGCTTGACTCGCATTAATAAAGAAAAAAAAGTAGTTTCGTTCTGAGAAAAGGCGCCGGCTTGTTATAATTACTGCTGCTTCAAACCATCTCTTCTCTACTTTACAGCATAACTTTGTGTAGCATTCATGTCTTGTAACTTGAAAAAAAATTGATAAAAATCACAAAGTTTCGTTCAAAAGCTTTGGAAAATTTGCTTTTAAAAGAAAATAAATATGTTGACCATAGATGTCGCAATAATTATGAATGCTGCATCTTTCGTAAACATTATCCAAAGCAAGATGATGTATTAACAAAGCGAACTATTTATTTCCTCAAGTTACATACTCACTCTTTTTCAAGTGTTACATAGAACTCTTTTACAAATTTATTTATATAAAACTAGAATTATATTAGCCAATTACAAAATTTTATGTAAAATTCTATTATACAGAAAAAAATGTATATGAATACAAAAACGCTCTTTTGTAGAGGTTATAAACATGCAAATAACAAAAATATCTCAGTAAAAAGGCAAAAATAGTTGATAAATTCGTTTAAGCCGACGTATCTGACTAACATTGGAAGATGCGTTTCACATAGGCAATGACCCTGATTTTGTCGCTAAGCCTTGAAATTAAAAAGAACATGACATCATCTTTAATAGTAATAAATTCAAAACTTCTTCACATTACTAACCTTTGATGACACTAACAATCGATTCACGTTCTTGTTCAACTTTCTTTATTCGTTGATTTTTCGTTTCAACTAATTCTTTCAAATAGTCAATCTAAGAGAATGAAGAATATTGTTATTATCAACTTGAAGTACTAGCACGATTAGAACGCTTTGAAGCTAATTAATAAAAAATATATACAATTTGGATTACCTCTGCATGTAATTTTGTTTTTTCGTCTTCTGCATTATGCAATTGAGTTTGAAATTGTTCAAGACACGAATCTAGATCATCTCGCTCTTGTTTAACTTTTCCTAACTCATCACGAAGCTCTAAAAGATAATAGTTGTAGATCAGTTCTGAAATTATGAAATAACAAACATCTTACTCTCATTCATATTTACAATTTCTGAATAATCGGTTTTAAATCTAAAAACAGATAAAAAAACTAAACATTAACTAGAATATAATAAAATATTTTAGATACCTGTCTTGACGTTTATGCGATGATCGTAAGTGAGTGATCGACTGAGATAAAAAATTCATACTACAAATCTTTTTTTGGTTATTGGATGAAGATTATTTGCTTACCAAATTTAATAATGCTTGCAAAGAGAGTTTTTGTATTAATAAACGTTGATCATTACTTTCTAAAACTGCTTTGATTTGTTTTATCATCGACTGTCGACATTCGAGTTCGTTCTGAATAGAAAAAGAACTTTTTACTAGTTTTCTCTAAATTTTTGTTTTGATTTTACTACTTGATCAATATCGTCCGTTGATCGAGATTCGAGTTCTTTACAAAATGCTGTTGTTATTCGAGCAAAATCAACGGAAACTGATGTGGTTGATGAACATGATGGTAATTCGTTTTTCAATTTAGACATATCATCCAATGTAGAAGGAGATGGATGATAAATAATATCGGGCGAACATTGTGTATCGTCGATAACGGAAAACAATCTAGTAAACAATATAAAACTCATTTTCTGTTCTAACAAAGATTGCAAAAATATTCTTACTCGTCAAACGATATCAATGAAAATTGTGGATGATGTATCAGTTTTAAACTTTGTTTAGCCAAATTACAATTATTTGAACGCATAGCTGCAATAAAACATTGGGCTAATGCTCGTTTCTAAAAATAAAAATGTGTTAATAATTGATTTATTTCATACAGCGATTAAAAGTATCTACTTGAACAGGACTATCAATACATGGCATGGTTTTCATCAATAGTTTAGAACAACGAAGTACAACATCTAAACCATCATGACTATAAAGAAAAATTATTTATATTAGTTAGCAGATATATATTTCTTTTTTACCTCCAATTATCAGTGGCAACATCAAATATTCCCTGTGAACAAAATGGATTGTGACTTAATTGATCATATAAACATTTTTCTATCAACTTCTGATGTGTTTTAATAAACTGTTCAATTTCTAATTTGATCTTTGTTTGTTCCCACGTCAATAAGTCTAATAAGTAAAATATGTTTAAAAATAAACTATGACTATAACGTGAGAAAATAAAATACACTCACGATATAGACAAGAGAATGTTGCAGCTTTTATTCTTAGTGGTATTCGAACACAACGCTCATCAAAATTAATCGAATAATTCAATACATCCAAAATTGCTAAACTCAATTTTGGCCAAATTGTTGACCAATCAAAATTTTCATATTTCATTACCTAAAATACAATCAAATAAATTTGAATAGAATATTTAAAGAAAAACATCATCATTTACTTCAAATAAATTCGCTAACAACTGCCAGGCGACAGGACATGATGAGCCATCGTGCAGATGATCAAATTTAGTACATGATTTCAATATTGACATTAAAATATTATTCTGTTGTTGCGGCTTCAAGTTGTATTTATCCAAAAAATGTTTATCAGTTTCATCGGTTTGAAACAACACAAACCACAGTTGTTTAGCAAAACCGTTTATATTGTTCATTGCTTCCAAGAGAAGAGAACAAACCTAAACAATAAATGAAATAAATAATATTAATTAGAACGGAATACTTCAATATATACCTTGTATGTTAATGTATCATTTGAGTTTGAATTCGTTAATAGCATTGTTGTGTATGCAAGAAGTAGAAGAAAACGATCGTATCTAAACAAAATGACATAACAAATATATTCTACCTCTCTTTTATAGTGTATTTTACTTTGTTTCGTTAAATTTAAATTTATTTGTACCAATTAATTCACGTAAAACATCCAAAATAGCACCTTGACCAGAACGAGATTCCATTTTAAATAAAGTACGAACTACAAAATCGAATAGAGTTTCTGCTGGTCCACAAATCTAAAAAAATAACTATCTATTTACCCCATTTTAGAGATTTTTGTGATAAAAAAAATTTACTTCGTTTATATTTAGACAAAGTCTAGAGGATGCAAGAAACGCAAATGCCGATGATTTGGTTGCTGGTTCATCAATTATTGACAATAATAATCGTAGACAAGACTGATAATATTTCTTCGAAAATAGAAAACAAAATTTTCATAAAATAAATCGTTATGAAAGAAGCAACGTACTTCACGTGTAAATTCAACAACATCCGGACTATTTAATAAATTGGCAATCATAATTATATGATATTCTCGTTCTTTAAAACTCGTTGAACTATAATAAGCGAATTTCGACAGGATGTGAAGGTAATGTTTTCATTACACTTACTTTTTACAAAATGTATCAAATAAAAACTCTAAATACGTCTGAAGCGTCGAAGTCCAAAGAAAATTTGATGTATGAAATGATGCCAACAGCAATAAATCTTTCAGCTAAAAATAAAAACAACGCGTCACTCAAAAATTAGGAAAAACGTGGTTTTCTCTTACCAATGAAGAGATAGAATCAAAACGAGATTTCTGGCACTCGTAAATACGTAACAGCATAACAAACAAGTCGTAATTTTGACAAAAATAGGCGAGAATAAATGAATCTTTACCTGAAACAAATGATAATTGAGCATTTCTTTGAAACTGGAGAGTTAAGCTATTGAAAGGAATATATTGGTTTGTAAAACTTACAAAGTTCATGGACTAATTGTAACAATCTTTCATACATATCACGAGACAAACTTGACTTCAATAGAACACGATTTATCATCCATATAAAATTCGAATCGATTGAATGTTTCGGATTCAAATGAAAAGAACGAGGATTTTTTTGAAGATTATGCAGTACAACCTAAAATATAAACTTTGTATATAGTTTATAACTTTAATATAAATTTATAATACATACCTGCAAATCATCGAGCAATTGAACTTCCTTGCTTGAATCAGTAATATATCGAAGTAGAGAAACGGTTAACTTCTGCAAACGTTCACTACTCAATGTTTCCGAAAGAGCAGTGCTATCCGACTAAAAAAATGTGATTTAACAAGATATTCTCTAAATCTAATTATTGTTCTTTAACAATGAAGGTACTAGATACTTACACGTGTCATTTCTTAGCCTTTCTATTTACTTCATTTTCATTAAAATTATGAGTACTAGAATAGAACTAAAATTAATTAATTAGTTCTTATTATGAAAATTGACTAATTTATCCATTCAGTTTAGAACAGTGTATCTAATGAAAATCTAGAACCAACTATACATTTGAAAATTTTACCATAAAAGATGTTGAGATAAAACTTTTTTAAAAGACGATAAAGACAAAAAATAAATATCTAACTCCAGAAGTGTATTCCAGTCAGCCACAGTTGAATAAGAGAAGGAAGAAGAAGTGGTTAGTGAAGAAAAACCATCAGTAAGGGAAATGCGAACATATTTACATCAATGATGGAATAATGTAAACAATGCATCATTTTTAGGTTCTTCAATGCTGTGGTGTAGATGTTAGACAACATTAGTCGGAGTTAAAACTGTCATCAAATTAGAGCTTGAAAGGGAAGGAAAAGTGGCTTCTCGTTTTTTATCTCTAAAACTTGCCAAAAATTCAAGTATAGTTCTTTTATAGAGAATACAATCTACGCTTTGTTTCTATTTTTTCCACAAATACTCTACTGATTTGAAAAAGACGTTCGTTAAACATTATTCACATTTTACCAATAAACACAAACCAGCGCCCGACATGTTACATGGTAATGCACTGAATCAGTGCAAAACAAACATGCGTAGAGGTTGGATTCTATAAACTAAATGGTAAAGAAGATGCGGTGACATATGACATAGGAGCCTAAATACATATTGATATGACCATCACATTGTCCCGAAATGTTACGGTAAATGTGCAACAATGTCATGCTAAAAGTGTGACAATGTTACGGTAAAATGTGACATAGATGCATCCATCGACCTTATTTAAAACAACTTGTTGTTAACTCGAAATTTCCGAGTGAAATTAGACATGTACATTTAGAAACGGTTTTGTTGAAACTGTTTACTAGCCCAACTAAAATTAGAAATAAACCTAACTGCACTGTTGCTTTCTTTCTGGAAGTTTAGACAAATAGAACCACAAAAATTGTTTCCTTTTTTGATAGTTTGCATTTCTATATATTTCCAATCTGACATAATATTCGATATCCAACAGAAAAAAATGATCGTAGTTATAGAGTTCAATGCTGCTAATTCCAAGTAGTTAGAACAGATATTTCTTCCATTTATTTCGTCCTTTTCTTTCACAAAGTATTTTTAAACAAGGACAGACACAACATAGGTTTCAATGGCAATTCTGTTAAGTTAAAACAAAGCAGTGTTAGTTTATCTTTACTATACACAGCACTTCATAAATCGTAATTTCTTTCGGCTTTTTCATTTTTAGACCCGTAGTATTTCTGAATCATGTACCGCTTTTCCTGTTGCTTTTTTTCACATGCTGCCTCAATGAAATTTTGTTTTGATGCATGGATTTAAAATTATACTTTGATATAGTACTGACAGAAAGTATTAATACTCTTTTTAACCATGGTCACTGCGCTCTGAATATAAACTATAGAACACAAGAAAAATACTCAACACAGTTATCTAATACAAAAGAGAGCTAGTTCATCAACTGATTATTTAGAAATGAATATCGCTTCCATTCATCAGAAATAGTTCTTTTTTAGAATTTTTTCTAGTTTTAGTGATAATGATGATTAGTTAGCATCAAGTAAAAGAAAAGAAATGCATTCATGTAATGAAAAATTGAATGTAAGCGTGATATTTCTTTTCTGTAAAATATTTCTATTGATTGTTTTCTCATATTAGGGTATCAGTCAGATAACGTCAGAACTTGGTAGTAATAGGAATATCAGTCCATTATCAATGTTTACCACTCTCTCGAATACGATTCTACCATCGAGAGCAAACACATCTAGTATACCTAGTGTTACTTTGCCAAGCCAAGTAAAACTCATAGTACTTACTTTTCTTCAAAGAAAATATTGATCTACTTTTTCTGTTTAGGTTCTTTCAGGTTTACAATTAGCTGTCGATAATAACAATAATATGCAACAACAACAACATCACAATCATCATAATAATCATACAGCTTCTAAATTTGCTCTAGTACCCTCAATCGGTACGAACGGATCAGGTACGTTTCCATGTTATGTTTGTTTAACTATTTCGAAGTTTTCATCGTTTTTTATTTTGTTTGTAGGTTTTTTCATTATGATGCCAACAGGTAATTATCCCTTGCTAACGTGTTTCACTCTTTCCAACAAATTTCTTGTTAACAGAAGATGTATCGTCACTATCGGAACAATTGTCAGATAACAAATTTTCCATACCACAAGAAGAAGATGATGAAGAAGAAGAGCGTTTACCGAAAGTTGGACAAGAAAAACGACGTGCTACACATAACGAAGGTATGTTAACAGAAGACAAAATATTAACAATTAGTTACCCTGTTCTGTTGTGTTTGTTCCCAGTGGAAAGGCGACGAAGAGATAGAATCAATCAGCATATTCAACAATTAGCAAAACTAATTCCAGACTGTAGTACATATGTTAAAAGTCAGGTATGTGCTTTATTCGTTTAAGGCTCTATGTGAAAAATGAGTCATCCACTGTTTTCTTTTGTAGAGTAAAACGGCAGTTCTCGAAAAAACGATACAATATGTACATGAATTACGGACAGCCAATCAAACATTAGCTAAACAAGGTCTTGCTGCCGATCGAATTCTACAAGAAAATGATTCATTAAAGGATAGAGTAAGTTTTGTTCTCGACTGGAGCGTAAAAGCGTTTTATTCTTATCCAGACGTCCAAAAAGTGTATTTGTGTGAATAGGTTAAATTGATTTCTTTTTTCTATGATTTAATTTATTTTTCTTGTTCGTCATTATGCTGTAAAAAATAGTGAAGGATTTTGAATAGTCGAATTTTCGTTTTAGATTCGTTTACTTCAAGGTGAAAATGATATGTTAAAATCATTATTGGCAAAAGGAAGTCTATTATGTGAACATGCTGAATCAAATATGTAATGATAATTCTTGGTACTGCTGTGTTTTTGTTTGCAATTCTTAATTTGTTATTCTTTTTTACTTTTTTGTTGTAAATATTGTTCCTCTTCTAACTGTTGATTCATTGATCTCTTTTGTTAGAACGATTGTTCTTTATTGTGAAATAAATGATATTGCTTTTCAAGTTGATCAAGCACCATTGTACATATATAGTTAGCATGGGATCTTTTTCTTTCCAAGTCTTTCTTGAATGCAACTTTTTTTGCTTAACGTTCAGTCATGCCGACATCATAAAATGAAAGGGAAACAGTAGAATGGGACGTAAAAATGAAAAGAAAGTTGTTGAGAAGAAATTTCCGTTTACTGTCACGCTTTTCACGCGTTTTTTTTGTGAACAGTATGTTTTACTTTTGATTTGGGTAGATCGAGATCAAAATTAGCTCTCGGCAGTCGGCGCTTTCTATTACTGGTAAAAAGTTACTGAAGATCTTAACTTCAAATTTTTATTATTACTTTCTTCACCATACTTGACTTTTGTATAACTTTTGGCAACAGTTAGATACACTTATAAGAGTTTCAAACCTTTTATTTCGTTTTTTATTGGTGGTGCAATCGTTTAATGTTTGACAAATATGCAATTCGTTCTGTTTTTTCTCTTGCAACAATTTTTGTTTTTTCATGATTATGCAATAATATGCAATTTTGTGTTATGTTTTTTTCTTCTTGTAAATCTTCTTGTTTTCATGTTCAGACAGGTCTGAAACGCACAGTTTATTCTATAGTTACGTAAACCTGAAAGTTTTTGATTTATGTGAATTTGTAGTCTTAATTTGAGAGGGTAAACTTATATGAGAAAAATAATGTAAGCGGAAAAGCCTAAAATCTTGACCATGTCCATTATCAAGTTTGACTACTTTTAAAACTTGAACATGTTTACATTTTTTTTGATGATCTCATCTTGTACTATTCTTTCTGTATCTTGTTTTGATTAAAGCTTGAAATGAACAGTCGAATGATAATCGTGGAAAATGAACAAAACATAAATGAAAAATGCATGATGTTTGTATGTTTTGTAGTCGTTTATTTTCTCCTGTGTTTATCCGTTGCGTGGATATTGTTTAACTCTAGTAGTGTTACTGTGTTTTCACGATTTTTTTCTTTTTCTTCAGTTGATAAAATTTTAGAATAAAATAAAAAGTAATGAATAGTAAAATGATTGTTTTTGCCGAAGGTATAGTTTAACCACAATAAGGTATTCGAACAGAGACATGGACACAGAATAACTATAAATATGCAACAAAATAAACGAACTCTATGGCTGATGAATATTCTTCGCCTTTCCACTGTTGAAAGTTCTACTAAAATTTGTAATTAAAATTTTCTTTACATAGAACCGCTCGACAAGAATATATGTGAAGGTTTCTGTAACCAATGGCGTGGTTTATGTACGAAAATGCAAATCATTTTTTCCCGAGGATTTCTACTGCTGTCTATCACTTATGATTTAGTTCTGACAAATCATAGTTTCAACTATAAATGCTTATTTTTGTGGACATTGAATCAACATTTTTCAATGGTAAAGTACTGGTAGAGAATGTATACTTTCAAAATGACTATCAGCAGTTCCTCAATTTGTTTCTAATCCAAAGTTTAGAATTCAAATCAGTTAGAAAAGTAAGTAAATAAAAACGAAAATTATTGTGAAACAAAAAAAGCAACGCTTTATTTTCAGTTTGTGAATGACTGGTGAAAAACCGGCAAAAGATCTGCCGGTTTTCAAAAATTCTCTAGACTGGTTAAAAAACGGCAGGAAACCGGCCGGTTTTCAAATATTTTCTAGACAGACAAGAGGCGAGAAAACTCATTATTTTTTAGTGAAGAAGAGAAAAATGCTAAGAATTTTAAAATCGGTCAATCATCGGCCACCGCCTTTCTAGACCGATGGAGACCGGCCGGTCTGCCGGCCCGGTTACAACTCTGCAATGCGTATGACATGAAATACGTTGTGATCTAGAGTACATGAATATAATTTTCTTCTGTAGATAAAGGGTGAGTACTAAGTTCTGACCCGCTTTATAAATTGACGTTATTCATATGAAATACATGTGATACAATTCAGCTGTTTTTTGCAGAAGATTCATCATTTAATTCTCTATAAAATGGTATATAGGAGATGATCCTGAGACTTGAGCTTTCGTCTTAATTGAACAGAAATCGAAATATCCCAAAGTTTCAAAAAATTTCACTCGAAAAACTGTATTTCGTCAGTATAGGCTTGAATGTATGCGTTGTGCCCACATTAAATAGGCCAACATGCAGCCCTTTTTCTATCGACTGGCTATAATGCGAATTTTCGGCCGTTGTTTCCATGTTTTCAATAATGCTTTTTGCAAAATTCCTGTGAATGTTTTTTCAGCTTTTCCAACATGCAGTTTGAAGCTGTTTGTAAAATGAATAGTGCTCACTCAAAAATGAATGAATCTGACTCGTTCTTGCGTCATTTTGAAGAGAAACGTTTCAGCTATTCGACTCATGTGCGAAATATGTGATGTCAATTTCCTAAAAATAATCGAAACGCCGAAACTACCATTTTGTTCATTTTTGGCTGTCAGTTATTAACTAAACATTTTACCCACATGGAACGGATGGAGATGAACTAAATCTTGTCCTAACTAATGGAGGATACCTAAACGTGCCAAGAAACGACCTGAGATCTTTTTTCTGTCCATCTGAACATGGGTTTCAAAATCCAAAATCGTTGCCAAAAATGTTTTTATTTTTTGAAAATTTTGGGGCATTTCGGTTTCTGTTCAATCAAGACGGAATCTCAAGTCTGAGGATCATCTCCTATATACCATTTTGTAGAGAATTAAATGATGAATCTTCTGCAAAAAACAGCTGAATTGTATCACATGTATTTCATATAAATAACGTCAATTTACAAAGCGGGTCAAAACTTAGTACCCACCCTTTATATATATAGTATTTCTAGTTTTCTCTTTTGCCAACGTGTCAGGAAAAGGCCGCAGTAGTGTAATTAGAAAATATGGCGCGAACATCGAGAGTTGTCTTATCCTCGCTCGATATTATAAACATTCAAACGTTTTGTTGGATCCAGATGAGTCGGAAGCTGTATGCTAAAAAACTGAAGAAGTTGACGAAGGATAGAAAAGTTTCATTGGATACATAACAAATACTTTTACTTTTACTGATCTTCATGTCCGTAATGGCTTTCGTCTAGTCATAATCCTAGGTTTAAATTTATTCTCTTTGCCTCTTGAAACTATGGAATCCGAACATAAAATCTTATACCAAGCTTTTACTTTAGATATCATATTAAAAAACATACGTGGTTTTGTTCATCGTAGAAATCTGCTTCGAATACTGCAAAAAACCCTCTGCTTCAAACGTTTTTCATTCAGAAAGCCTTAAAAACCTATTGCAGTGAGTTTGCGAGGATGTTGACTAAAGTTATCTGTTTTTTTCAGAGTTCTAGGCCCCGAACGGACATCAAGAGTCCAGAACACTATAAAAGCACATGCTTTTTCACTCAAGATTACTCACGATTATCCTTCAGATACCATTAATTTTAGTTCTTACTCTATCCCCTTCTTTTGCCAGAGTTATGAATATTCAGTATTGAGCACATCAAATTACACATACTCGAACACTTTTAGCTTTTGAGAAATAAATTCTGCTGAGGTTTCAAATTTTTCAACTCAAATTTATCAAAAAAGTAGGTAGTTCTTCAAGAGCCAGCGAATTCTATGAAGGATGCATTTTCAAATACTGTTTCTAAACCAAAAAATGTTAAGCGTGGTGAGTTCTGGATTACGGGTCTTTTAGAATAAAAAATTACGCCATTATGAATCTATAACAAATTTTTGATTAAAATCGTGGTTTTGCATATGTCTATTAAACTGAGCAAGCTCAATAACTTATGACCTGACCACTTACACTGCTCATGTCTCTTCGTTTTAGACATAAACGGTTTTTTCCTTAGAAGCGTGTTGAACATGACCCTCAGGAGTAGTAAGATATTCATTTCTATTTTCGGAGTAAGACATAGACTTCCATTTTTAGAGTAAAGCATTTGGTTTTTCTTTTTCTGTGTTTGATAGAAAATAAACTTTGTGTCATGTACATAAATAAGATAAGATAAGTAGAATAGACTGTATCATGGCTTCAGTAAATGTGTTTTTATATTACAAGGGTTTGTGTTGAAGTAAATACAGTTAGATAGAGGGAAATTCAGTCTTGCTTTAGGAGAAAACTGCTTAGAATATTTATCTTTTTTTCACTCCAAGCATAAAAATTTACTCCGAAATTGACTTCGCCTCCGAGGTATCGGGACGCCCCTGATGACCCTGTTTTAGTAAATTACTGCTTGTGACATTGATTAATTAGAAAAAGCATCGGAAGATAGTTCGTTTAGAAACTTCTTGATTGCTAAAAGTTTTGATGGCGCTTGCAACACATATGTGAAAAAAATAGACTTTCCCACTAAAATTAATACATCATCAGTATTTTTAACAGATTACACTATAATTGATATTTCAACTAACAAAATTGACAAAAGAATATAGAAGGTTTGTAACTCTGACCTTCAAAATAAGCGCGAAATTTCTCAGTATACTTCAACTAAAAGCACCTTCTTTGATATAACAGCCGTAGGGGCTCCTCTTCCTACATGTTTGGCTGTTCGTAAAATCACTGCCAAAATAAACCAAAAGTGATAAAGAATCCGTATTTTCAGTACCCTCTTTTTCTTTGTTGTTTTAACTCTTTATCTATCACTCTTCCCAGGATATCGCGAAAACTCGGTTTTTTCATTGGTATCCGTCACAATCCTCGAAAAAGTCATCGGATCGGGCTCAAATTTTTATCACAGGTACTTCATACTTTATCTCAGATGGATTTTTTTTGTTAAAAACATTGCTTCCTTCCTGACTTATAGGGTCTTTAAAAATGAAAAACTTGGCTATTTACCGTTTTTTTTAGTATTTTTGCTATAGTTTTCGCGATATCCTGGGAAGAGTGATAGATAAAGAGTTGAAACAAAAAAGAAAAGGTACTGGAAAGACTTTTTCACCTATACAAACTCTTTGTCCCTTTTGGTTTATTTTTGGCAGTGATTTTACGAACAATCAAATATGTATGGAGGAGTATCTTTTTAAAACACTCAAATATTACTAGGATTACTGTTTGAAATACTACACTATTTGGTTCCACACTCGTATCTGGCTGGCTTGTTTTTATACCATTGACATCTTTAAATTGAAAATTTAATGACTTGTAATGTTAAAATCCGTATGCGATGAGATTGTTGATGATTCATGAGTGCTAGTATTTTCTTTAACCAGTTGAACAGAAGACACATTTTAGGTTTTTATCTGATTAGAAAAATCATAGAAAATGTATCGCAATTCCATGTCTCCTATCAGTAGTCTCTGAAAAGAGACATTAAAGTGCGCGCGCTTTTGGTCTAAGATGTAAACTACATATTTTACTTTTTCTTAATTAGATTCTGGCTAGTAATTTTGCGTATATATATATATATTCGTATTTACTACAGTTCTTTGTGCTTAGTAAACAGTAAAAAAACCAGTGTAGAACTCTCAGCAAATTGTAAACAGGTTTGACGCTTGATTTTTTTTATTAATCTTCCGTTTAACCAAGACTTTTTGAATCTTTATTTTTACTCAGATCTTGTTCAAATAATTTTTTTCTTCTTTCTGTCTGTCCTTTAATGGGAAACAATTTCGAAAAGGTATAAACTATTCAACAATATTTCTATTGTAATTTTGGTTAAACTTTTTGACTTCTTGATGTTCTAATTATGTAAATTGTCTGATGAATTTTGTGAGCGATTGCTGATACTGTTCAAGTTTTCGCGAAGCCGAAACTGAGCTTTTCTCCAAAAATTAGATTAGTATATGATAACGTTTAACTATGTTAACGCTTTGGGCGTGTTTTGGAGTCTGATAGATATGAGCTTCTTTCTGGTCGCTACACCTATTGCCAAATGTTCTACGTGACTTGTCTCATAAAAACTAGAAAATAAGAAAATTTGGCAATAGATAGGCGTGCTGAAACAATAATAGTAACATTTTTTTTCCTTTTTATTGCTACTCAGAGCTTGATTCTTTTATTGATATGAAGGTTATATTGATTAGTGACACCACCATCTCTGATTTCATTGGGATTCTATAGGATTTTTTTAGGATCCTACAAAACTTAAGTAAAACGCTAGTAAGATCCTGCCAAGAAATTCATAGATCTCTTACCAGTATTACTGATAATGTGAAAGATTATATTTCATTATAGCATTTATTAAAAACAGTGTTCGCTTGCTATCTTAACGTCCTTTCGTATATTTGGTTTTAATGAAAATCATTCTATTGCTATATATTATTTAGTTGAAGAAAAAACACCAAATTCATACGGTCTGTAATGAGTACACAACAAGATCGTGGTCGAGCTCGTGGACGTGGTCGAATGACAGCTATACCAGAAAAAAGTATTAGTAGTTGCTTATGAAGAACACCAGAATTACATATTGTGGTGTTTTTTCTTATTTAGATGATGAAATTGGTCGACCAGGCGATATTGCTGGAGCTATACAATCAACTGCGGCGCTCAGTTCTCAAACATTAATTTCTGGAACTGGTTATGTTCATTCAACGTCGCCATCATTAATACCAAGTGAAACAATAACAGAAGTAACAAATTGTTTTTGCTTTAGAAGCGATACCACACAACTTTTCTTTGCCATTTTTAGAGTGATGCAGCAAATCCAGAAAAATTTCGTCGTGGTGGAGCGCCTACTATTATGCAATCGGCGCCACGTGGGAAAGGTAAATCATACGCTCAAATCTTAGTTATTTTTTATTGAAATTCTCCGTTTTGTTAGGTGTTGAACATTTGATTGGTGAATTTGCTCAAATGTCAGTCCATTCACTCGGACGAAGTTCATCAAGAAGTATTCCATGGTCAGACTTGCCGCGTACACGTCCTGAAAGTTGCATAGATAAACGGGGTACGAATTAAACACCTTATTTATTTGGTTCATAATTATTTTTTCTTGTTCTCTAAGGTACTTCTGGTGATGTAATTCCACTGATAGCTAATTATATCAAAATTCTATCAGCACCAACGTGGGAACTATTTCAGTATCATATTGGTTTCAAACCAGATATTATTGAACAACGAAAGATGCGTCGTGAATTGATCAGTAAATTTTAAATATTGTAAATTATTTAGATTGTTTATAGATGCTTTTTCCTTGTGCCTAGTTCAACATAGAGAGTGTATAAAAGACGTGGCATTCGATGGTACAACAATGTATTCGTTTGATGATCTTGGAGATGTAAGTCCGTATTCGGTGACTCTGGTTCATTTCGAGATTTCGAAAATTTTCTCGGAGGTCAAATATTCGCCCCAAGTCGACTTTCTTGCTTCATTCACGCACATACACGATTCTCACTTCACGATTGCTAAAAATTCGCTATTGGCGCAGTGTGACCGCGACCAAAAAAATTAGAATTTGTGATCCGACGCGATAATTTTTTCTTATAGCGATTCCGAAGTCCCGCTCTGACTCGCTATAGCAATTCGCGTCAAGACAATTATTTTAGTAAATCGTGCCACGATCACGCTTTTCTTTCACAGCAGCGATATTAAACAAAATCACGGCGGGGCTCTCGTGGTAGTTCCAGTCACCGTTTTATTGTGTACTGATTCGAACTATATAATTCCTATTGATCTTCGAAAATGTTTCAAAGTTTTCTTGTATCTCAGAAAGCATTCATCGTATAGTCAAGCCGGCAACTGTTAGCCTTGACCTTAGCTTGACTGGATATTTTAATTATGAGAAAAACAAAGGGATAAGCGTGGAGATGAGAAAAGTGACCGCATCATAAGTCTTGCTTAGTCGCGTTGCGAGTTTGCGATTCGGTAAGAATATAGTGATCCATTTATTATTCGCGAAAAAGCAGTGATCGCGGTGAAATATTCGAAAGTCGCGAGTGTTTTTCGTATGAGCGCGACTTAACCGCGATCGTGGAAAATCGTCTCTTATTTCACGAGTCTTATAGCAAACGCGTTACGCAATCTGGTCGCGAATTTTTTTAGTGATTCGTGTCGCTAAAGATGATAAGAAAGTTGAGTTGAGGCGCGATATTCTCAAGACGAAAGAGGAAGTTAGAAGCTACGGGAACGGTTCTTTTATGAGAGGACTGAAAGTATATATTGAGAAAAATTTTCCGATATTTTCACATAGAATTTTCTACTTTTATCTAATTTCATGCCTTGGCATCAACAGTGAGTGTGAGTAATTAGGAACGAATCGATATAAAATCCTCGTTTCTCTATAGTCCATTAAATATACGTTTGTAATAAATAGAGAAAAAGGAGTCAAACATACGAAAGATATATATTAGAAATACGTGGGAACGTCGCATGCCATCCCTACGGTTCCACCGCCTTTGGAGTATGCATTTTCGAGTCCTTTACTAGCTGAGTTCTACTCTTTCAAGCTACTCGATACATATGTTACTGACATGCTCATCTTACAAAACATAGGTGCTGAAATTATTGTTCTTTTTTTAGGAAAAATTGTTTCATAGTCGACATCCAGTGACGAACGAAAATATTGATATTATACTAAGAAAAACGGCAAAAAGTTCACCCGAATCACCAAATTTCTTTCATTTGGCGAATTTAATCGTTCGAAAGTAGGAGTAATGAAGTGATATTACGAAAAATTCATAAAAATGTAGTTCTGCACGTGATTCTTATTTAGATTATTGCAAATATCAGGTATGAAAATGATCGGACGAAACTATTATCAATTTGATCGAAAAATTGAACTGGAACGATATCGTTTAACATTATTTCCTGGTTTTATGACAAATGTTAACGTGTATGAAGGTATGTTTCATAAAAATATTTTTCATATCACGTTAGAAATTTGTACTTTTTTTATAAAAGGTTCATTGATGATCAACGTCGACCTTTCACATAAGGTATCCTATTATTTTTGAATGCTTTGAAATTTATCGTTCATCAACTTGTTGTTTTATCTTACTAGGTCATAAATAAAACAACAATCTATCAACGTCTTCAAGATATTTTTAATCAGACTAATGATATAAAAAGAGCACAAGATATTGCAACAAAAGAATTAGTTGGACAAATTGTTTTAACAACGTAAATTTGTCGTGTACTTTATGATGCAAAGAATGAAAATATACTCTAGCCTTACCTTTCTTTTTCTAGATACAATAGCAAAACGTATAAATTGGATGAAATTGCATGGGATAAAGATCCAAAATTCGCATTTAAAAAACGTGACGGTAGAGAACAATCGTTAGTACAATACTATAACGAAGTAACTAGCAGATTGTTGTTTCCTTCGCATCTCACTTTATTTCTGAAAAATTTTTTTTCTTCAAGCGTTATCGCTTACAAATATCCGATGAAGCACAACCGTTATTGCTTAGTAAGCCATCAAAAAGAGATCGTCGTGCTGGAATAACCGGACCGATAATGTTGATTCCAGAATTGTGTTGTGTTACTGGTAAATTTTTTTCTATTATTATTATTATTTTAGCTTTTATTAGTTTACTTTTGACTGTTCTCACTTCATTGTGTTTAGTAAGTTATTTTATAAATTTGTATTTTGCACCTATAACAGACTACGTCTTCTTCTTTCTAATACAATCGGATGAATGCTAAAGTTGATTAAAAAACCACTGACTGATTATTGTGTGATCTAATTAGTTTGTTAGCGGATTAATTTAATCTTTTTTTTCATAGGTATTTCTGATACAATGCGATCTGATTTTGTGTAAGTGCAACTTTTTCCATATTGAGTCAACATGAAAGTCGTGATGTTTTATTTTATAGGTTTATGAGAGAAATGGCTCAACATACTCATGTTGACCCAATGATACGTTATGCTCGATTAAATGAGTTTATTCATGATATTTATGAGTAAGATGACGTTGTTCATCAGCAGCATTGCTCTTCATGATACGATCTGATGTTATTTTTTCAGTAATAAAGAAGCACAAAAAGAATTGGAGAAATGGAATATCAATTTGTGCGATAATTTAGTTGAGTTTGAAGCTCGTATTCTTGATAATGAGCAAATTTTGTATAATGATGTAAGTATTTTAAATTAAGTAACTTCTATATTTTACATTCATTATGTATTTGTTCATAGCGTGCTATTCAATATAAATCAGAAGAAGCTGATTGGTCTCGAGAAGGGTAAATTGAGCAAAAAATCAACTGAATTTCTTTATTTTATTTTGTTTGGTTATTTTAGACGGGCGATGAAACATATTAATGCAAAAAATCTAAATAACTGGATCCTCGTTTATCCATTGAAAGAACAAGGTAAACTCTTTACATAATTCAACGTCTAAACCATATATTATTGAAAATGTTTATGTTCTAGCGATAGTGACAGAGTTCATCTATTCATTGCGTCACGTATGTCAACCAATGGGCATGAATGTCGAATCTCCTGATACGTAAGTTTTCACTTCTGATTCATGAAAAACTTTTTACCTTTTCAAAGCTTCCTCTACAGCTTTCTCGTAGGATTAGCGTGTAATGATTAGGATTTTTTTCAATAACTTTTCATTTTCTGTAGAACGCAATTTTTTTAGATTTTATCATGATAACAATGATATAGCTTCATAATTATGCTCTACTTTTAGTGTCCAATTACCAAATGATAGGTCCGAAACATATCTCGATGCATTAACAGCCAAAGTGAAAAAGAATACCGATTTAGTTTTGTGTATATTACCAAATGATCGAAAAGATCGATATGATGCAATAAAAAAATATCTTTGTTTGGACAATCCAGTCCCATCTCAGGTACGAAGACGAAAGATTTTCTTCATCGAATGATATTCTCTTTTTTCCATCTAGATGGTTTTATCAAAAACATTGTCAAAACGAGGTCAATTAATGTCAGTTGCAACGAAAATTGGAATTCAACTAAATGCCAAGTTAGGTGGCGAAATATGGGGCGTTAATATTCCGTCAAAAACATTAATGATAATTGGCATTGACTCATATCATGATTCGAGACATAAAGATGTCTCAGTCGGGGCGTTCGTTGCCAGCGTGAATCCATCGTGTACAAGATATTATTCACAAATTATCTATCAACGAACAACGCAAGAATTGATGGATGGTCTAGCACGATGTATTCGTGGTGCGTGAAGAAAAAGAGTGCGAATTATAATCTATATTCTTATTTGAAATATTCTCTACTTTTTCAGATTCATTATCAGAATTTCATCGTGTTAATAATGCATTGCCAGAGAAAATTGTTCTTTACCGTGATGGTGTTAGCGACGGTCAATTAGCTGTGGTGGCCGAGCACGAACTACCACAAATTGTCAGTACTTTTCCGAAAATTATGCCTGGTTATGAGTAAGCAGCCTATTGTTCTTGTTTTTGTATTTTCTACTTTGTTTCTTTCGTTTAGACCAAAATTGGCGGTCGTTATTATTAAAAAACGTGGAAATGCGCGATGTACGTTAGATGCCCTTTATTGTGAACTATTGCTCATTGAATATCTGTTTGACTATTATAGTTTTTGCCAGAAATGGTCGAAATATAATAAATCCGCCGCCTGGAACCATCATCGATCATACAGTAACAAATTCAGATTGGTACGATTTTTATTTGATATCACAATGTGCAAGACAAGGAACAGTGGCACCGACACATTATAATGTTATTTGGGATCGAACAAACTTGAAAGTAGATCACATGCAACGATTAACATTCAAATTATGCCATTTATATTATAATTGGCCGGTATGTTCTAATTTTCTTGTACACTATAGAAGCAGACTCGTGTCAATGATGTAAGGTGTGCGCAATTCAAAACTTAAGCAAATTTTTTTTCTTCGATATTTATACATGGTTCGATGTAGCTTCTCGAGCTGAATCTGAATATGTGTGTTACAAGATTTAAAATCAAGTTTTTCTAAATTTGCTATTTCTCGAAAACGAATGGAGAACTCGAACACCTTATCTTACAGAAGCTTGGACATTTTGTTTTCATATTCTCCGTCGAAAACTGCATTAGAAAAATATGTTTTTAAAGTTTCGTAAATATAGGATGGCTGAAAAAAATTTCGCTTTATCGCAGATAGTCAGAATCCGCTCATGTCGGTACAAAAATCATCAAGTCTGTTAAGACAGGAGATGAATCAGAAATTTTACCACCATTACTCTCGTCCTCAATGTGTGTAAAAAGTTACGTCCCCTTTTCCTTTGATTATTTTTTTCGTTGGGATACACGTATTTCTTTGACGATATCTTCAATCGGGCAAGTCATTCTCGGACAAAATCTACAGTTTAGAAATAAAATTAGTCAAACTAATCCGAAACAGGTAAAATCCGGTGCTGAATCTAATGGTGACATTTACAGGATCTTTGGCAGATCTTGTTGTTGACTGTGTCTTGCATAACTGGAATAAATCACTGATATCACTAATTTGAATTTTGCCCTTGAAATCATATGCCTGATCTTCGTCAAAATTAGTCAAATTTGCCAAAATTTCATCATCGGACGGTGGAGCATCAAAATTCTTCACTAGATCGTCTTTTCGTGCGTGCTAAACGCGTCTGACTCTTGCTTTTAGATGTATATGGCATTGTAAGACGAAGAAAGCAAGAACAACTTAGAACTTAATTCAAAACAATACTCGACAGTAGTACTTGCTTATGAACAAGTGTTAGGTTTTGTACTTACGGTATTTGCCTAACTTAATCCTTCTTCAGTGGTTGTTAAAACAATAATGATATTATTTTAATATATTTAATTCCATAAAATAACAAACTACAATCTCAGTATAAGCATGCCTCGAATGAACGTTTGCATCAGAGCCCTGCAGGTTGCCAATATTTGGCAACCTATAACCTAACCTATAAAAAATTTCACAACCTAATCCTAACCTAACCATTGAAAAAAAAAATAGAACAACCTATAACCTAACCTAGCCTATAACTTTTGCAACCTAATCCTAACCTAATCTATAGCTTTTGCAACCTAATCCTAACCTAACCTATAGGTTAGGTTAGGTTAGGTTAGGTTAGGTTAGGATCAACCTGCAGGGCTCTGGTTTGCATCTCTATATATATCCACAGAAAGAGTGAAAGAAGATAGAAGAGTACAGAAAGATAGAACGACTTCACCGAAAACAATAAAAAAAGTGTATCATAAAACATTTCATATTCACAATGAGGCATTCAAAATAGCGAGAAAATACATGAAAGCTAAGACATGTTTGACCTTGAACAAAAACATTTATTTCTAAACTGTAAATTTTATCCGAGAATGACTTGCCCGATTGAAGATATCGTCAAAGAAATACGTGTATCTCAACGAAAAAAATAATCAAAGGAAAAGGGGACGTAACTTTTTACACACATTGAGGACGAGAGTAATGGTGGTAAAATTTCTGATTCATCTCCTGTCTTAACAGACTTGATGATTTTTGTACCGACATGAGCGGATTCTGACTATCTGCGATAAAGCGAAATTTTTTTCAGCCATCCTATATTTACGAAACTTTAAAAACATATTTTTCTAATGCAGTTTTCGACGGAGAATATGAAAACAAAATGTCCAAGCTTCTGTAAGATAAGGTGTTCGAGTTCTCCATTCGTTTTCGAGAAATAGCAAATTTAGAAAAACTTGATTTTAAATCTTGTAACACACATATTCAGATTCAGCTCGAGAAGCTACATCGAACCATGTATAAATATCGAAGAAAAAAAATTTGCTTAAGTTTTGAATTGCGCGTACCTTACACCGCCCGTGCTTTTGAATTTTACTCGATTCTTCCAATCAAAAGGCTTTCTTCCGATTTTTTGTGAGCAAAGTCTGTCCAAAAGAATATAGCAGCAAGCAGCAGAGAGAAAATACGTTTTCCCAAAGTTCTTATCGTATACCCAAAAAACTTACACTATACCGGCTTGTTTTCTTCGCCACGGCGCTGGATATTAAATTAGATTTGAGAAGCCTATTTTAGCCTCTTGAATTATTTCAATTCTAAATAATCTATACATTTTCAGGGTACAATTCGTGTTCCAGCTGTTTGTCAATATGCACATAAACTAGCATTTTTGGTTGGCCAATCATTACACCAAGATTTTCATCCGACATTAGCAGACAAACTATTTTATTTATAGACAATAACAAAAACAAAGATGAAACCTCATCTTATTGACATTTTTTCTTTTGTTTAATTTATTTTTGTATCCTAGTTTTTTCTTATCGATGTTTTCAATTTTTTCTGAGAATAATTTCAATCTTTTGTTATTTAAAAACCTCTATCAGTATTTGCACTAAGCAAACAGCTTTAGAATTCGTATTGTATTTCTCAAAGAGACAGTTTGTAACTTCATTCTATTTTTCGAATATTTTCTCTTTTGTTTGTTTCTCATTTTGTTTTGATAAAAATCGTTATCATCTGTGTGAAGTTTTGGCATATTTTATCATTGTATTTGATTAGTGTTTATATACGTCTGTGATTTCGTGTTCTAATATTTTCTACTATTCTATTTTTATTCTTTTTATAGATAGAAAGATTATGATAGATAAATAAAACGTAAAAAATACACAAAATTTATTGTTGAAACCGAAGACAGAATTATGAGAAAAACTGTTTGCTAAAAAAGTATTTGTGAGACAAATCATAATTGATCATCGAACCTTTTTCAATGTTGAATTTCCAATCAGGCGAGATCAGAAACAGATTACTTTAACTCGAAAAATCTTCAGTATTAATGAATATTTCCATATTTCATAATTTCTTCTTTCTTTCTTCAACATTAGTGAAAATATTATTAAGTAGTAAAGTATAATGTGCATATAAAACTTATAATAAAAAGGAAGATGGAATTTATTAAAGGTGTAACTAGGCAAAGTTTGAATTGTTCACAAAGCATGAAAATTCACCTTCTATATGTGCTGCAAATTATTGAAATTTACAACTGAATTCTTTATAGTGTTTTTAGACATTGGCCTTTTAATTTTGAAAACATCAGAATTTATACATTGTATAACAAGTTTTTTTGAAAATTGATCGCCTTTTTTCGACAAGAGCGTATTTCTATCCTGTTGACTTCTTCTAGTTACGAATTGCGATATCTAAACATAAAAGCGAGATATAACTTTTAAAAGCAAAATATTGTGTGAAAACCAGATTAATCTAAAGTAGTGATCGAATAGGTTTCTTTGTTGCGAAGATGAATTATAATTATAATACAGAGTTTGTCTTTTACTTAATAGAAACAATAGAATAGAATGCAAAACCTGATTCCATCTACACCAATGCCGCCTTACTTTCAGTGGGTGATTGATAATTTATTAGCCATAAGTGCTCACCCTTATCATGCTAGTCATATAAAGTATCTGTTAGAACACAAAATTCAAACAATAATAAGCGTATCTGACAATCAAGCACACGTTCCACCACATCAGTCTCGTGGTGAACTTCATGTTCTTCACATGGATGTGCCTGATGGTGGTGCACCAACAACTGAGCAAATTCAACAGTTTGTTAACAGAATGGACGTGGCTAAACAACGAAATGAGGTTGGACAGAGTTCAACAAGTTTTCCATTTTTTTTGTTTAACTTTTTTTCTAGGGTATTGTTGTTGAATGTATTCGTGGCAAAGGCGCAGCTGCCGTTTTAGTAGGATGTTATTTAATGAAAATCTGGCAGTCTCCACCTGATTATGTTGTCAATCAATTACGTCTTATGCGCCCAATAGCGTTAGAAACACCTATACAAGAACAAACACTTATTGATTATCATAAAATAATCTCACCAAGATTTTATCAATATTATGCTGAGGTTGATATGCCCCATTCATGGGATATCGATACATCTTATTTACGCACAACAAATTTGGCTACAACAAAACAATTATCATTAGCGTGAAAAAATACAATTTCAAGAACTAGGACAGAAATTAGTCTTATCTTATATACTAGTTTTTTACATTGCAAAATTGTCTTCACATATTTTTTAAAATATTTAAACGCACATGCATATCTTTAAGATAAAGTCAGAGTTATAAGTAGACATCTGCACGGGCACGAACAGGTTCGAAAAAACCATAGACTATCGCGAACAGGCAATCGCCCTCTTCGACGGATCTGGATTTTTGAAAACTACGCACAGGATAACTGTGTCTATGCAGACCTCTAGTTATAAAGTTAACTATAATGATGTGTAATGAACGTTAGATATCGCTATCGTACACATTTGATAACAAGATTAACTGAAAATGTTTCTGTATTATTACATTTATAATGATTCGATTAAAAAAAGACAAATTATTGTATTTTTTCGACTAAAATCAGATAGTTTTCCGGATACTAAATTAAATTGAATAACAGTTATTTAACGAATCATTCATTAGTGGAAATGGTATTTATTTTTTATACAATTACAGTTTTGTTTGTATTGTTGTTTTCGCCGTTTTTGAAAAATAAACGTACCTACTTGTTTCACTGACCAATAACCTACGATTCAATCTTTCTAAAGTTACAACTATCGCAGGCCATTCATTGCCATATCAAAAGACCGCAGGTATGGATTATTTTTCCAATCAAAAGTTATATTATTCAATAACCGTCGGCGTAATGAATGGTAGTAGAGATATATCTTACTGATAGCTAGCGGCATCTGTATACGCGCCTGAGATTGAAATTACTTCAGAGTAATGAGAATATAAATAAAATCACAGAAAACCTCTTCATTTTTATGCATGATATTTTCCCTTTGAATGCAGTGTGACTCGATTAGTAATTCTAATGGTAGAAGAATGCATAAAATGGATGCAATTTTATTTCTAAAAGGCATAGTATCATTACGCGGCTTTACTCTTCATGCCACTAAATTTGAAAAAAGAAACGTCGATGATTTTTTCACCTAATTTCCTGTGAATCATATACAAAAGTTCGTTCCATCATTGAGGCAAGTCCGTGAAGTATATAATCACGGACTTTTCACCGCGGAAGCTGTCAGTCAGCTGTCTGATTTTTCACGCACTTTACTGCATAATTTTACAGCCGGGGCAGCGTCCTCGTTTAAGAGCCTGTACTTACATACTTCATGGACCTGACTCAATGATAGAACAAACTTTTATATGTGATTCCGAGAAAAGTAAGTATGGACTTTCCTTTTTTCAAATTTACAGTGTTGTGTTGAGTCTTGAATGCTCTCAATGGTGCTATTTCTTCCATTTGGATCTATTCTCTTACTAGAAAAATAACAATTATAGAATGATGACCGACAGAACCTGTATTTCTCCTTTTTCTTTTAAGACTTTTCTGTTGGTATACAATCAATCTTACTTAAACGGTGATTCCATCGAAGTTGTTTCTTCCATTCGCTGTCTTAGTGGTCTTATTTCGGACAGTTTGAAGTAAAGTGGGAATGACAGAGAAATTGCTCTTACTTGTCGACGAAAGCTGAGAGCATTGAGTCCTGTCTTCGGATTAACTCGTAAAATTCGGAGTCGAATTTATATTTTTTGTATTCTTCATAAGCTCGAATATTCCTGTGCCCTGCATGACAGTTCTTTTTTTCTATCCGATTTCGTTTCCGTTAACAAATTTGCCGCTCGGGTAATTTTTCCCATTGATTTGACTATCGTGTTCCTCAACGATCTCTTCCGAATCTTTTCTCCGTCTCAAATATTTGAGAGTTATGATTTCTCTAAAATTTAGTATAATACCAGTCTTTCTGTTTTTTTTATTGCATTTATTTCAGTGTACCCGCTACTTTTCTTTACATTGTCATCATTCTAAATTTCGTATTCCTAATCTTGATGCGTTTTTCTCTCAAACAGTACATTCCTTTTTTTTGCTTGAGATCTAAGCGAAACTACTCAGCATTTTTTTTTAATATCCTCACAAAGAAGAACGCTTAGAGCTTCGCGATGTTTTTCTTTCCTGAATTGTTTATCGACATATTTTGCTACTGTGCGCTCTCGGCTTCATTATTCTATATTTCCATTTAAGATTCAAGTATCACCAAGCTTCGAATCTGCCTCGGTTGATGTTCTATTAACGGAGAACCTGTAGAAACAGACTTCTATTGTTACGCGATAGACAAATAATTCCCTTCAACATTCCTTTCGACAAAAATTGTGCAAAAGGTTCTGGAATTTTAGAATAATGATTTGCTTGAAGGATATGTGTTGCCCTTGTTATCTTTTTATGTGCTGTATTTTTAGCGCTATTCGAAAAACTGATTCCTAATTGTTAAAGTTTACTTTGTTTTAGAAAAAGTAGTTGTAAAAAACTATATAAAATTCGATATGACAGACGTTAAAAAAACACCACCGGCACAAAAGAAGGCTGCTGCAGCAACGTCGAAAAAAGTAGCTACTGGGTCGACGACGAGTCCAGCAGTGCCTGTCACAACAACAACACCAGCACCAAAAAGTGAAGTATGTTCAATATAGTTCTTAACTATTGTTTTGTTATCTTGTTCTATATTCTTCATTTGGTAGCAAAAGAAAGCACCATCATCCAAATCGTCTTCGTCGAAAGGAAAAACATCACAATTAGCCAAAACATCAACAAAGGTGACGAAAAAGACAACACAACAAAAAGGTGGTAGTAAAAAGAAAAGTAAAGCAATCAAATATCATATTGATTGTACGCATCCGGTAGAAGATGGCATCTTTGATATGAATGCTTTTGTAAGTATCAACGTTTTTTTTTATATAATTATTGCATTAGTCTAGTAAGAGGTTTTTTTTGTTACTTATTTAGGAACGCTTTTTGCAAGAAAAAATGAAAATTAATGGTAAAACGTCAAATTTACAAGGTTTAATTACGATTGAAAAAGCAAAATCAAAAGTATCTGTTACATCTGAAATTCCATTATCAAAAAGGTAATAAATTTATGTTGTTTTTCTGACAACTCTTTTTAATACTTTTGAGCTTGTCAATGATGCTTAGTCTGTCAATCTTTTTCATCTCTTCCAAGGATGTAATTGTTCTCCCTTGATGTCTTTACTGTTTTGTTAGTGAAGTTAAATGCCGAGATAAGAGATGGATCGGTTTCCTGCTAGATAAATATTTATTTTAAACAAATATGTTTTAGCGTGGATAGAGATATAATATCATTTATTTTGTCACCATAGTCAAAAAATCTTTATATATTTAGATACATGAAATATTTGACAAAAAAGTTTTTGAAAAAACATGAATTACGTGATTGGCTTCGTGTTATTGCGAACTCAAAAGATGCCTATGAATTACGTTATTTCAATATCAATCAAGAAGAAAACGAAGCAGACGAAGAAGCTTAAACGATTTAGTCAAACACGCGCACAAATTCAGAATTTGTATTCAATCATCTTTTTGTCGTGTGTGTATGTTTGTATCGATATCTGCCGCGAAGAAAAAATGAAATAAAAGTTGTTTTGTTGTTGTTGTTGTTAAGTTTAAAAAAGCTTTTTAATATAAATAAATAAAACAGCTTATTTTTGTTATTCAAACGAAAATGATATACCGAGAAGAAACCTGACGTAGAAGCGATGTGTAATGGCATCTAAGTATTCGTTTATTGATACTTTGTATTATTTCGTCAGTTTCAGTGCACCATGAACGGCATTTGTTTCTTGTGTGATGTTTAATCAAGATTATTTAACAAAAACTTTATGAAGTTCTAAGTAAAAATAGTACAGAACTGCACAAAATATCATGTTTGCTTAATTTATTTAACAAATAAATATAACATAGATAAATGCAAGCTTTCACAATATATATATGTGACTTTTTTCCTTTGTTTTCCTTTTCTCATGTTGTTTTAGAAGCGTTACCGTCGTACCTTATCATTTTTATCCAAACACTCGTAATGTATGCCTTTCCATAACTTTCCAGACTATATAAACTTCCTTTTACCATCTGCCTACGCCAGTTTGATTGAAAAGCTACAGTCTCTGTTTGATCGAGATTAGTTGTATGTGAATGATGAAAAGAGTGTTGAGCTGGGTGAAACTTTGACTCATTTCTTTTAATTGCATATTAGTGCTCTCTCAGCCTTATTCTTTTTTCTCTCGCCTTTTCACCAAAATAGATTTAATCACAATCTTTACACGGTATTTTGTAGACTATGTCCTTGTTTAAACGAGATGAATCTAACTCTTTTTGAATTGATGGAAAAATACTTTTTAGTG